GTGGGTTTTATAAAGTTAACTTTATATATTTGGCTTGTTCGAATCATGATTATTTTTCAAGAAAGTCATATGTGAAATTCCATAAAGACACAATCACATAATTTACCTAACATTTTATGAGTCTCTCGTTTATATTCCGTTTAACTTTTTTCGCAATAAGGTGCCTTTTACCTTTCTCCTTGTTTGAGTAACAACCTGTCGACACGGAGTCAATACCAGCCGAATGAAATGTAGACGGTCGATGCTTATCTCGCCTAGAATTCTTTTCACTGGCGCCTGAAGGGTATTTTCCCCACAGTGGAGCGGTGTGTCCTCAGGGAAATATGTACGGAGTTTTGCCAAGCTCGGGGGACGGATGAGGTTTTGATGTAATCTGCAGAGTACCGAATGAACCATGGGCAGGGGAACAAAGCGCCGTCGCGGGGACGGCTCGGCCAGGTGTTCATTAGCTCTGCTTGTGGGGCTGCTCCGAGAAGCCCCGCGCCTCTCGGAAGCCGAATTCATTCAGCGCGCGTGACGCAGTCCACACGTCAGCGTCCGGCGCGGCCGAATGGAGCGGAACGACATCACGGCCGTCTGATCCGCCTGCCGGCGCCGCCTCATCTCGTCTGTAATTCTCTGATGAAGACGGACAGCCCCGGCGGCCCATTTCTCACAGCTGGAAACCGTCTTCTCCTGGTCAACAAACGCCCCGGAGCAGTGTTTGGCCGGCCGGAGGAGAGAGCCGCCAGTCGCGGCCTGCTTCGAGAGCAAACAGTGGCCGTCGGACGCTCTGAGCCGATCAGACCGCCAGCTCTGGCTGATTTACAGCGGTATTTAGCCAGATCGGCTGGGCGGCCAGCACCAGGACACCCGTTTGGCGTGTGATGCGCGCGGAGGCTGGGAGGGGTCGGCCAGGCAGACAGGTGGGGACGGACAGTGATTAATTCCGTGGGGTCGCGGCTCGGCCGACCTCCGGAGCGACGGCCCGTGGATGACTGATGGAGGGTCGGTCTGTGACGATCACACGCGGCCGGCCGGTCGTCGCCGTCGGTCGAGCCGGCGTGTCCGACGGTCCAAACCGCACTCCATCCGAGCCGCCGCGCCGACTTCAAACAAACATTTTCCGCCTCGGCTGCAGTCTCGTCAAACTTGGGCCGCAGTTTGTTGGCGTTTTAATTGGTGAGTTTCCTGGAGCTGCTCGGGAGCGCGGGCTGCCGTCGAGCCGCCCCCGTCGATATCCGTCGGGCGCCGGCCGCGTGTGCCGCCGTCGCGGCGCTGCTGGGTCGACACTGACAGACAAATGCTGGCCGCCGTCATCGGTCATGGATATGAAGTGGCACATCGGCTGCCGGGCGGCCACCAGTTGATCGCGCTCATGGCTCATATCTCGCGTGATTGCCGATACCGGAGCAGCACGGCTGAGTCGTTTGGCCGGCAGTCGGACTGAATGGCCCGTCCGCTCGCTCGGCAGTTGGATAGCCGGCTCGGAATCGGCCGGCGTGGCTGACGGCCGCAGTCGCTCGCCAGCGTCCCCCGTTATTTCTATTTCTCCGTGCAATAACTAGAGCGACGGTAATGTCGAGTTTATCGGCTGGCAATCTCTGGTAACTGCCTCGTCTGCTGCGCTTGATGTTCTCAATACGAACCAATACACATGAGAGTATACACACCATCTAGCCGGAGTTACATAGATTCATTTTCACCCTGCTCTCCTCTGCAGCCAATGACCCTCGGCCGGAGAGCACCCGGCGATGATGTCCGTCTCGCGCTGTCTCCCGGCAATCTGTAGACGGAAGCCACTCGGTTCTGAGCAATCTGACAGCCGGCACTGCATATTCTCGCTGGGAACTCTACTGTCGTATCTGGAGAATGTCCGATCGTCCCCAGCTGAGTCGTCCCCAGCCGTTCGTCCCCAGCCCGCGTTGGAGCGGCGCCCGCGCGGCGCCCACTCGATCGCGCCCGGTCGCCGGGCGTCACCGGGCGGCGGCGACACCTCTCCCGGCGCTGTCACCGGCGACGGCCAGGTGGCACGTCTCGCCGGTGTGGCAGTCATGGCAGGGACGCCTGCCAGAGACGGCAGCCGGCGGGCCCGGTGCCGGGGACACAGGGCGCCAGTGAGAGCCCGAGGGCTGCCGCGGCCAGCAGAGCACTGTCGCTGGCGGCGGGCCGTCTGCCCACTGGCAGCGTCCGACCTCGGCCGCCGCCGGCCCTGACATTCAGCCGGCTGCCAACGCACCGCGCCACGCCCCGTACAGGTGTCGGAGCTGCCCACACCGCGCGACCGATGGCTCTCGGCGTGCACTTTGGCTTCGTTAGGCCCCCGCGCCCATGGTGCCGTAGGAGGGGCACCGGTTAAATGGACAGAGCTCACTTTGTGTAGGCTGACCTTCAGTCAAAGGTCAGCCGTGCTTAGTCAGCCTATCTGTTACAAACGCGAAAATCCCTGAAATTGCACCAGTAGAACTGCGGTGCAGAGAAGAAGCCAGAGACAGTACCGTGAACAGTTCAGCAACACAGCATATCGGTGGTGGCACGTTCAGTGCCAAAATCATTAAAATGCCAATGTGTCAGTTATTGCATCAGCGAAGACGCAAGCGGAACCCATGTATCAAAACATGTGTGCATTGTGCATCTGATCAGATTCTTGCATCATGTTCGCCGTCCTGCTCCAACCCCATCCCTACATATGATGTGCTGGATGGATTTCTGGCCGTTCTCACGCCCCACGCTCGGCCCGCACCATTCCCGTGCCTCCGGTCTCCGCCCCCTCTCCACCAACTCCTCTGGTGGCGTCATTACTCACCTATAGCGGACGGCAGCGGCACCGAGGGCAGGCCGACGGCTCCCGTTTGACGTGTGTCGATGCCGACGGAGCACCGTCGGTACAGCGGGACACGCCGTTGGCTGGGCGCGGCAGCCGGCACCCGAGCCATTACCGCAGCACGTTCCACTGATGAGTGTGCCGTCGGACTGAATTTACAGAGCGGGCATGTGGTAAGCTGCAGTCGCGTTATTATGGCGTGAATTATACTGCTGGTGCTAATTATCATCAATTCAGCGTTAGTTGACGAAGTGTGGCTGGAGTTATGAACAGCCAGGTCCGACCGGCGGACAACGGGTCTTTGGGTGCTGCCAAGTGCCGCTGGAAGCTATATTGTAGTTTCCAAATTTTTTTGCAGCTGGAGCGGTATTATGGACAGCTCATGCGACAAGGTTCGATAGAAAATTATTGTCCTCTGAGTTCTGACACTTGCCATTATGTTATCTCAACTAAAAAAGAAATTTCCCTGTGCCCAAATGGTTCTTTGCCTTCCTACTAACACAGGCCATTGTCACGGGTCAGTGTCACGTGTCATTGTCACGGGCCTGCATGTCACGCACAGCGGGTCATCTATCTGTGGCGTCGGCCGGGGACTGACGGCTGACCGACTGCGTGTCCGGTCACAATGGCACCGCGAGCGCACAGAGAAACTGGCCACTGACACGGAACGGCGGCACAGCGGGCGCCGACCAAACCCATGGCCCGGCGACACTGCAGAGTACCGAACAGATCCGTAAAACGGCGACACTGGGCTCCGAACAGATCCATGAAGCGGTGACACTGAACGCCCACCAAGCCCATACCGTTGACTGCCGGTTGCTCGGACTGCTGACTGCCCATTGCTGACTGCTGAGTGCTGACGCGGCGCCAGGGTCGATGGCGATAGCGCCGATAAAATATGCAAATGCAAACAACCGTGCGAATAAATAAGGCTCAGGGAGAAATTTTACGCCAGCCAACTGCGAGTGCTTCATTTCGAAAACATCGAAATCCCCGAGCGTCCTTCCGTTGTCATTTGCCTGCGAGACGATCTCCTGATTTACACAAGTCCAAACCATTTCGGCCGCCGGTCTAGCGGGTATTGTTGGCAGTAACCAATACATACATCTCGTCCTGAAATTGGTTTCGACACGGCGCGCACAGCATCGTCCTGAGCCGGCCGCTGCACATATCGGCCGATGTGCTAGAAAGAACTACCTACTACGCTGGCGCCGGGCGGCAAAGGCTCCATTTTCAGTCCGCCTCAATCACTGGAGAACTAGTCCGTCGGTGAGAGCACTCGGTCGCCGTTCGCCGTCAGTGACGCCGAGCCGGCGCCGCTCGCGCTGTCGCGGTAATTCACATCGCCACACGGCCGCTGCCGCTGGGAGGCGCACAGCCCAGCGACACTTCCGGCACGCCTGGCGTCGCCAACGACGCCAATACGGTCGCCGTCGCCGTCGCCCGTCGCCCGGTCCTCAGCAATGGCCTCGTCAAGCGGCCGTTGGGGCGCGCGGCCGCGGCGCCGGCCGCCGCGAGCAGGCAATTAGCGAGTGCCGGCTTTCACGGTGGCGGTCACATGCGGCGGCCGCTGTCTATTCCGACCCGTAATGAGGTCCGCTCCGATGGCGGCCGCCCGGAGGTCGGCGGCGGCGGCGATGGTCGGACGGGCGCACTGGCCCACGCCGCACCAATCGACCCCGGCCGACCGCCGAGGTGGACAGCGCCGGTGGCCAGGTGCCCGGCCGCAGTGGCGCGCTGGCCAGCGCCCGGTGCGTGTCGCCCTCAGCCGTCTGCGCGGCCCGTCGTCCGTCGTCCGTCGTCCGTCGGTCCGTGTCGCGCGCCGCCCGGAGGACTGGTGACCGCCGTGTGTGCCCGACAGCTCTCCACCTGTTGCCCGCCCCGCTATTGACGTGCCGAGTAGCTGTTAGTCCGCGGACCGAGCGGCGGCTGGGCAGCTGACGCCGCGCAGGGTTAGCCGCGCTAACCGCGTTATCGCGAGAGCTGGGCCCCCGTCCGGCGGTCTGGGCAGGCCACCACACCGCCAGTCACCACCCGCCGCCAGCAAATACGCCTGATTGGGACAGACGTTACAGGAGAATTGCCTTAGCGGCCGGCCGATTGGACTATTGCCATTAGCGCCGGCGGCGTGTATCGGCAGCGGCGCGCGAACGGCCGGGCCGTTTTTCGCCGAGTGACGGCCACCGGCCGCCCGGGGCGGTGGCGCGATCGGCCGCCCGTCCGCCTGTGGTCGATAACTCAGCGTCGGTCACCGCACGACCGCTGCCCTCCGCCCTCCGCCCTCCGCCCTCTGACTCTCACCGACAGCTCAGGACGATCAGACGGCAGGCGGCTTTGGCAAGCACTTAAAGGCTGGAGCCTGAAGAGAATGTAGAGAACGGAGGAAGCCAGGGCAGCTCTGAAAGTCTTTCACAGATCGCCTCGTCCGCTGAGAGGCCAGCGGCTAGTGCCTGTGACAGCCTGAAAAGAATTCTGCATCTGGACACGGAAATACTAGGCGTTCAGTCCGAGAGAATTTGACGGGTCGTCTGAGCTCAGTGGAGTCAGAAACACGTTCGGACGCTGCACTGGAGTCGGCCAGTCCACTGTCAGTTCGTTGCCATTGGCCGGGGCCAGTCAGTGTATTGTCAGTGGCTGCAGGACGCTCTGTCGCCGGCCGCTGGTGCCCGGAGGAATGCCAATTACGCGGCGCAGTACGCCGATCGGGCGATCCTGTGGCTGTCGGCCGGCCGACGCGCCCGTTAACTATTCACGGGTGTGACGGGTCGAGCCGGCCGCCCGCCGCCCGCCGGCCGCAGTGTGCCAGCGGCCGCGGCCGAGTTGGAAGCCTGCCGCGCGCCGCCGATAAAGGCCAGTTCACGCCGAGCTCCGCTCCGGCAGTGACGCGACGTCAGACAGCCGGCGGGACTGTCGGGCCGTGTCGGAGCGATTTGGGAGCGCGATCACGGCCGTCCGGCTGCCGGCGGAGTGGGCGGTGCCCTCTGCGTCTTTGGTGACTGTGAGCGCGGGTCGGTGACCTGCTGACCCCTGTGACCCGCGGGCGGCCGGGGACGGCCGCCGGCCGGACGGTGACCTTTGACACCCAGTCAGCTGAGCGCCGCCCAGAGAGCTTTGGCGTGGCCACCGGCTAGGATGAAAAGAGCGGCGAACGGGGACAAGGACCGGCGAACGCACAGTCTCGACTACTGGGCGCGGCTCGAAACCTCCTACCAGAATACAGTCTTTGTGAGTAGATCAGCACCCAAAGGCTACACTGGATGAAGGTTAAAAAAAAAAATCAGGTTATGCATCCCTGTAGGTGCAGGCATATTCTAAAACAAATATGTAAGCATGTTTTTTGCTGATCGAACATTTTGTTGATGACCTTAATGTATCTCCCAAATTTATTGAACTCATGCTTCAAAGAGCGGTTCATCCTGCTCCTATGATCTACGATTTCCTGCATTCTATTCTCAGGTCGCCTGCGCTGTGTCTGTTGGCACCGGAAAAGTTCACCATGTCTCCCGGGCGGCATCAATAAACATTACTCGCCACATAAAACAAACTGCAATCGCTGATGGATAACAGCATGGTTCGTCTAATCATTCGCAACGTCTCTATCCTCAATCGTTTAAAAGCAATGCCCTCGTGAATTGCTAAATTTACCAGAAGCTGAGTGATGATTTGGGATAAACTGCAAATGATTTCTGGAACAAGCACATGTTTCGGGACGAATACATTGCTTAATCTAATTAGTTATTAAGCAGTGCTGCTCAGTGCTCATTGCTGTAATCCCGGCCTTAGCAAAAATGTTTGCTACTCAAAGCTGTGTTCAATACCTATACCATAAATATGTAATTAGAATTCCAAATGAACTTTTCCTCGATAATTAATTGGAAATGCAATAAAAGCAAATATTATATTGTTTGGCAAATTTTCGAACAACAGTTGATTCTCAAGCCACATGAAACAATTGACAAGCAGGTTTCATATGGCTTGAGAATGAACTGTTCTTCGAAAATTTGCCAAACAATATAATATTTGCTTTTTATTGCATTTCCAATTAATTATCGAGGAAAAGGTAATTTGAAATTCTAATTACATATATCAAGATGTTCCTCGCTAGAGCACTGCATACTATTTCCTATACCATAAAGATTGCTTGGGAAAATTAATATATCCTAAGCGTATACCTTGAACTGCATACACTATTACCCATAACTTATAGTCTAGATGGACGAAATAAGATAGGGTACCTGGAATGAAAGCAGAGTTCAGATCAGATGGCTCTGGACGTTGTTTTCTCTGTCCCTGGAGCCATGTAGCGGCGCCGCCAAGTTTCGACAGTTGTCGGGCAGTTGCCGCGCGCCGGTGCGAACTTGGCCGTGCTGGCGGCGCCGCGCTCTGCGGGCCGGCGCTGGGCGCCAATCTGGCCGACCGGTGACGGCTTAGCGGCCAATCTGACCGTGGCCAGCGCCACCTGAACCCGACGCTCCGTTCAGGGCGCCGCGGGCGCGCGGCGGTGGTCGAGCGCTCCTCCCAGCGCGGGGAGAGCCGAACGGACGGCAACAATGAGTGTGTTACTAACCAGTCTCGGCGCTAGGCCTGGTAGTCAAAATCACCATGAAAAGTGATTCACCCCTGTTCAACTACTTGAAATGCCATTATTTTCTGCGATACGACTGTCTGTGATTCGCTGTAATGGAATGGAAGTCCCCAGTATACGGTGACGTGGCGTCTCTCCACTGTCCCCACCCACTCGGAGTCATTAGTGGCCCCGTCCACTGCCTTTGTCGGCAGCAGATGTTTCCGCTACTACGGCTCGGCCGCGGGCTAATGGAGCCCGGCCGGCCCTGCTGCCGGGTGACCGGCGAAGGGAGCTGTGCTGTGCTGGGGCTGGTGACCGGCGAATAGGGCCACTGGCAGCCCTGACTTGGTGAATGACTAGTGATGGGGCCAGGCTGGTCCTGCTGGCTGGTGATTGCGGGGCTGACCCTCCTCACCCTTCCCCTCCATGCTCCGCGCTCCCCGGCTCCCTGGCCAGCCATGAATGAGTCGTTTTTTTATCGGCGTTGCTGCCTGTCGGACGGGCCGATCGAAGTCGGTGGGTCGGTTCACCGATGGTAGGCCTTCCAGTGTGTCGATGGGTCCCCGTCCAGTGTGTTGATGGGTCGCCGTCCAGTGCAGTGTGCTGATATGTCGCCGTCCAGTGCAGTGTGTCGATGTTCGCCGTCCAGTGTGTCGATGGTATACACGCTGGCCGACCTCCGATTGCGTTTGGCGGCCGCATCGATCAGCCGGCTGGGTTGTTAGCAACGCGCCGGGTCGGCATTCCTCGGTCGCGCTGCACCGGGCGTCGGTTCGGGCCGGGTCAGCGGCAGAGTCGGCTATGGGGGCTCCCGGACTGGCATTCCTCGGTCGCGCTGCACTGGGGGCTGGCCGTTAGAGTCGACACTGGGGGCTGGGCCATGGTCAGTGACAGAGTCGACACTGAGGGCCAGGCCCGCATTCCATGGCCGCTCTGCTCTGGGGGTCAGTTCGCCGGCCCGTGTTCGGGTCAGAGTCGGCACTGGGGGCAGCGCGGGTCAGAGTCGGTGCTGGGGTCCAAACCGGGCTAGCTTGGATCAGGCTGGGTGGGTTGAAAGTTGATATGGGCCTGATCAGGCCGGGACTAGCAGTCCTTTGTTTCTTCGACAAGAGGTCCTGTACTCCTGGTCGTCTGGCTCTGGCGCACCGAGGGACAGCCACAGCCGCCACTCGGTAATTACGCGGATCGCTCAGAATCGAGGGCTGCAGGTATGGACCCGCTCCGGAAGACTGCATGCAGTTGCGTCTAGTGCCGTCCAGACGCAGACTGCCTGCCGGTGCGGCCCACTGTACGAGTATCTGGCCGAGATGCCGAGCGCGGCGGCCCGCCCGTTGTTGTGACGATGCGACCCCATAGATCACGGTCCGGCTCGGAGGCCCGATAACGCCCGATAACCGGCGCCGGCGCTGTTTCGACTGATGAAAGCCGACGCGTTCCATGATGAAAGGCAGGTACAGGCCGAGAAAACACCCGGCTCGTCCGGCCAGCCCACCGTCTGTCGGTGTTGGTCTGTACTGAAAGGGCAGAAATATCATCGAGATGCTGAATCGCATTGACAATGTCTCACGGGATGTTCATATTCGTTCGCAATTTGAATACCTAACAGCAGCCGCAATGCGGCGTTTTTCTTCTGGGTACCAATATGCCAGGTGCTTCAGTATTCTCCTTGAAGTTTCAAAGTCGGTAAACAGTTCACTGGGAGGAACTCCCTCCGCACTTCTTTGTTCTTGTTTTCCACTCTTCCCGAGCTCTACCACGCATCTGATGTAGCTCCGCTGTGTGAGTACCGAGTACGTCAACTCCCTATCTCCTTCCCCGTCACCTCAGCCGCAGGATATCCACTCCACTCTGCTCGGTAACTCGGGTCACGCGGCGGTAAGCGCGCTGAGCCCGGTGGGGCGCCCCTCTCCCGCCCCCCTCTCACTGGTGTGTTCTTTTTGCGGCCGTTTGCGGCCGCCGCTGCGTGCAAATCACGTAATGGTGCGCTGGTCTGCATCTGCCGCAGTGGCCTTGTGGCCTAGCCTGACTATAGCAGCGACAAACAGGTCCTCTCGAATCCAAATAGCGACTAGCCTTGGCAGAGGAGCCGGTAACTTTTATCATGTAAAAACTAAAAGCAGCGATCAGAAGTAAATGGCCGTGCAGGGCAGCAGTGGGTACATACTCGTATTTACTGAGGGGCAGATGAATCACGAAAAAGATATGATTAGATAAGATAATGTATGACCTATTCCACAGAGATAAAAATCGAGGGATCAATTAGACAGATGGAAGATACATTATGCCAAGAAAACTTGTAGAGGGAACAATGAAAAAAGATGTTTGACACATTTTCAAACCAGCTGAAGCCTCTTCGATGAGGCAATATTCCCTCTGCTATTTGCCCTCTCCCCCCCCCCCCAAATGAAAATGTAAACAAGGATTGTAACTAGGCTCCACGCAGTAGGCGTGCGCCCAGCAAGCCACGCTCTGGAGGATATCGGCTATAAATCAGCCATTCTGTGTAACAGGAACCACCTGGCTCGTTGACGGTCGCTGCTCCTCTGACTAATTTCCGACCCGCTGCACCTGGCTTGTTTACGAGAGGCGCTCCTCGCTTAGGCCATCTCAGCTCGCGCTCAGCAATTCATTTTGATTAAAAATATGTTTTCAGTTGAGAGATGCTGCACTCACAATGCTTCAAATGAGCAGAACGGTCTGAGTAGAGAGACGAGTTTGCAGCTACGCTTCAAACAAGTTTCCCTGGCCCGCAGCTGGAATTAGTCAGAAACGGCTCTTAGGCGAGCTCACTGTTTACAAACTTTGTCACAGAAATCCAGCTGTAATAGTTTCGCCTCTTGTTTTGAGCTAGGAGTATTTCGTACCTAGGCATTGTGAGACACGAAAGTCACGTAACGCAAAAATTTATATTGTTTTATTCATATCTGGGGCGCTATTTGAAACAGCTGAATTCGGTTTTAATGGGTGCATAAGGGCATTTCGTCCTTAAACTCTTTAAAGGGAGTGTGCCACCTTCCAATGGTTTCCCATTTTATTTTTCCCAGGATAAGAAGCTTCTGTTTTTAACTAATATCGCAAAAATCCAAAATGGGCTTGGAATAGTGCTTTTTTCGCCTAAAAGTTTATCGGTTTTTCGATATGTATAACAACTGTAGTGGGCTGACCTGCAAACAGGCGTCGGCAGCAATCGCGAATGCGGCGCACATGTGACAATAAGCAAAGGTCATTATAGAGTTACGACGTACGGGAATGAGTTATCAGCTGTCTAATCGTAGACAAAAGACAATGTCGAACTTAAACTGTAAGCCTGTATTGGTATTGTTTTTTTTTTAATTTGGCTGTCGAACATTAATTTATGGTTTGAAATATGATTTTATGTAAAATAATTGATATGAAACAGCCGATATGAAAATGAACCCATCTCACCACACGAAAGTGGCAGAAATGACAATGATCAGCTGACGCATTTTTCTTGGCCGAAGTCAGAGCGCGCGGCCCGACGCACCACCGCCGCACCACAAGTATGAGCAAAAGCCACCTAACAGGCGTGTTCAAAACCGCAGATGATGATGATGAACGGGTTTATCGAAACTTGATTGGATGAGCCTATTTTTAGTGTGTGCATTTATCGTTCATAGTGGTGTGAAATGTGGTTGGGGTACGACCGACAACCCGTCGGGGCGAATTTCGCACTGGGGTACTCAAAATTTGAAGAATTTAAGGCGTTTCCATGAGTTTTGAAGGTATGGATAAGTTCTAAAAATCCGGTTCTCCTTATCCGGGTCATTAACTCCATATGGTCTTTTTTGATCAAATGATGGGGTCTTTTTTTGTAAATATGTAGTTGCGAAGTGGGGCTTTAAGCAGCCATTCTCTTACCTTGTATAAAATTACATGTATAAAGTATGTCTTGTAATACAGCATTTCTCCAGTGTCTGCCGCCCGTTCCCTTACCCAGTCCCCCAGCCCCTGTCTGCCCGACTGACTGCCTGCAGCCGCTCTATCTGTCTGTGCGCGCGGGCCGGCGCTTTGTGGGGCTGTGTGCCGCGCGTGGTCACGTGTGCTTCTATTCTCAGCTGGCTGACGCTCCGCGCTGTGTGGTGACTCGCTCTTTGGTACTGACATGTGCGCCCCGCGGAGCTTTTGTCCGCCGACTGGCTGAGAGCTCGTCTTCTGAGGTGTGCCCGTCCTTGCTTTTAGCCTCCGAGACGCTTAATGTCGTTGTCTGTTCGTCCGCCGAGAGAGGAGCGTGCCTTGGACCAGGTTTGCGCGTGCTGCGGGCGGGGACACGGCACCTCTGTACCCACAGCATGTCCCTCACCCTGCCCCCCTCCCCGTCCCTCAGAGGCAGGGACCTCGCCCCCCACCGCACGACTTTCAGCAGCAGGTCACCACAGACCAGCGACACTCCAGTCGGCACTCCACGAAACAGACTGACTCAGGGTCGATTTGCACACATATTGCTTACCGCCTATACTCTTGCAAGTTGCATCAATATGCGCACATTCGGAACATACTACAGATTATCGAATTGAATTGATATATTGGCGTCGGGCATATTGCAAACATAGGTCCCTATGCTTTTTTCTCTTCCAAGTCATGAACAATTTACACTGCATGCTAAGCTTCACTTTCATTGTAGCCATATAAAAGGATGGACTCCTAAAGTTGGACTCTATCCATTAAAGTTCAAAGCCATGCGGAAATGGTTTATGATAGATGTGTATTCCCGTTATCTGTCCTCTGCAGACAATTCATCAACATCAGCCCAGCCGAATCTCTGGTCGTTGTGAAGGATTCTCAGATATGCTTAGTGCCAAACAACCGCCATAACAACGCCAAAGTCTTGCCAGAACAACATCAAACAATTAGGCCGCTGCATTACGCTGCAAAAGGCGTATGAAATCCTGAATATGAAATAGCGCTGGACGTTACCCCGCCGAGCCAACAGGGCAGCAACGATGTGTGACGAGGCACTGACACAACCACCCTCTCAAAGTAGTCCACATTCACATCACATTGGTGGCTAACGGTTACACCATTCACTATCAGAGCACTGCATCGGTGTGAACTGTGCTGAAAATGGACAGCGGCCACTCCACGGGACATAGTGTGAACCCGCGCTTTGTGCATGCTGAGATCGCAATGGCTGTCTAAAGAGGACGGCTGCTCTAACTGAAACACAGGACTGCTCAGTTACCCAATAGACATGTACGAGTATTTAGGTTATCTGTACCTGCAGCGACATACTTCTCCAGTGCAGTGTAGGTTTCTTAATTACACGTGTCTTTGATATGTATATTTGCTCAATAATTCAATCTATATGATATTTTTGGTCAATTATGGATAGGTAGCGGGAAAATAATTTTGCATTATTAAGCGCCATTTGTTTCTTTTTATTAAGCGTAGGATTAATAATTTGGCGTAAAACGCATTTTAACTAGGATGTAAAGGGGCAGCGCCATTTATAGGCCCACGCGCGCCCACGCAACCTCTACTAAACGCCCAACACTGCACGATATTTTCTCGCACAGCTGCTAATGCTAGTATGGGATGACAAGGGATTTTCCTCTGATTCATGGTCTTACAAAGCGTGTAATTAGAATACTTTTAGATAAATTAATGACCCAAAAAGATAAAATGCTGCTCTGGCTTCCACTGCTGGAGCTTGGATTTAGGGGAATTCTTCTTTTCCTTTTGGGTTCAAGCGTAATTTCGCAAGAAAAGTCTTGATATTTGTTGTTTTTCTTTTCGAATTTCTTATGGCGAATTCACCCACACTTTCTGCCCACACCGCCCACCGTTTTCGGCCCTCTGTTTCGTCCGTCTGCGGCCGTCTGACGCTCCCCCTGCGCTCCCCAGCTGCGAAAACCGGTGTCGACGCTGTCCATCCCCGGTGCCATGAGGTGTTCCGCCGGCGCCACTGCCGGCCTCAAGGAGGGCGAGGACCCCGGCATCGCGCTGGTCGGCGTCCACACAGAGTACCCGCGCTACACGGACGAGCGCAAACTGCCCAAAACGCAAAAGCCGTCCGTCGGCTACAGGTTAGTTGGGCGGGTGTGTGTGTGGGGGGGGGAGGTCTGTCTGTCTGTCTGTCTGTCGATCTGTCGGTCTGTCGGTCTGTGTGTTCGTCTCCCGCTGGCTCTGTCGGTATGATTACCTGGCGGTCTGCCTTTCTGTCTGTCTGTCTGTCTGTCTGTCGGTCTGTCGGTCTGTCGGTCTGTCGGTCTGTCGGTCTGTCTGTCTGTCTGTCTGTCTGTCTGTCTGTCTGTCTGTCTGTCTGTCTGTCTGTCTGTCGGTCTGTCGGTCTGTCGGTCTGTCGGTCTGTCGGTCTGTCGGTCTGTCGGTCTGTCGGTCTGTCTGTCGGTCTGCCTGTCTGCCTGTCTATCTGTCTGTCTGTCGGTCTGTTGGTCTGTCTGTCTGTCGGTCGGTCGGTCTGTCGGTCTGTTGGTCCGGTCTGTCGGTTTATCAGCTGGTTCGTCTGCTTCTCTGGGTCTGAATTCAGTTTCTTATTCTTCCGTCTCCCATTTCAACCAATGTTTTTCTTTCTTACTGGAAAAGATAACTCTGTCCTCTTCTTTTGTAAGCAGAATAGTTCCATCAAGATAAAGCGCTTTGAGCAAACGCAGCCTGCCTGTTTGTGTTGTGATGACTATCTGTATCAAGCGTTCCTTATTCTGTGATGAAGGGAGCTGATGATGATTCAAATATGCATATAGTCAGTTAAACTATGCTCGCACAACACATACACATGCAGTGTGCAATAATGTGCATTTAATCCCACGTGTTTCTAAATACACTTTTTCCTAGACCGACGCCTTGTTCTCGTCGTGCAGGTTGGGCCGAAGAAAGGCGTTATTCGAGAAGAGGAAGAGGATCAGTGACTACGCACTAGTGATGGGGATGTTCGGCATCGGCATGATGGTGCTGGAAAACGAGCTCAGCAGTGCAGATATCTACACAAAGGTGAGCTTCTCACTCATCAGATATCTACACAAAGGCGAGCTGCTACCAATGCAGATATCTATTTAAAAGTGTGACACCAGATATAGATAAGTCTACACAGAGGTGAATCGCCAAATCGGTACAGATATCTACACGAAAATGGGATGCTCAACATCCGCGCGCTAATCTACCGAAGACACTGGCGGATCCAGGGGGGGGGGGGGGGCCACCGGGGCCATGGCCCCCCCCCAAAAGCCTGAAAGGGGGGGCCAACATATCTTTTGGCCCCCCCCAAAACGCTTGAAGAAAAATTAATGTGAGATGGTTGCGTAGTAGATACCTACTAGAATCAGCAGCGTGATTCAATAGCGTAGAGAAAGTCAGGGGTGCGGGAACTACTTTCAGACTGGGGGGGGGGGCACACCATAATAGAGATCAACCTAGGGTCCCCCCAAATCTAGTTTCTCACCGGTTTTAGGCCACTTATTTTTCATCTCTTGGCTTTTTCAACAAAAAAGAAAACATTTGCAAAAAGGGCGGTATTCCGTCTGAAAGTTGTGGTGGCACCGCCCCCCACTGGTGGATTCAGGGAGGGGGCCACCGGGGCCATGGCCCCCCAAAAGCCTGAAAGGGGGGCCAACATATCTTTTGGCCCCCCTCCCAAAACGCTTGAAGAAAAATTAATGTGAGAAGGTTGCGTAGTAGATACCTAAAAGTTAGAATCACCGGCGTGATTCAATAGCGTAGAGAAACTCAGGGGTGCGGGAACTACTTTCAGACTGGGGGGGGGGGGGGGCACACCATAACAGAGATCAACCTAGGGTCCCCCCGAATCTAGTTTTCTCACCGGTTTTGGGCCACTTATTTTTCATCCCTTGGCTTTTTTCAACAAAAAAAGAAAACATTTGCAAAAAATGGGGTATTCCGTCTGAAAGTTGTGGGGGCACCGCCCCCACGGCCCCATAGTTGGGGGGGGGTGGGCAAGCTGTCCCCACTGCCCCGGTTCCCGTGCCTATGGAGAAACTACCGGGTTTACTAGCTTCCTTCATAAAGTGTCGTCATGTCTCGTCGTCACCCGAGAAGGTCTTATTGCATACATATCGATTGAACTGTCAAGTTAACAAACTTGCTCTGGCAGCCTGACCTGACATGACCCGGCAATTTTTCATTCACGGAATATGCGCAATAATTTTTTTAGGAACACTCACTGAGTTGGCGTTGAAAAGCTTGTTTTGTTTGGTAATTGTACAAGAAGCATATCAGGGACCTTTTTGTCCCTTCCCGTGAAACGGTAAAAGACTTATTTCGGTCAGAGCTCAGGCCAATCTCTAAGGGGTCAGTCGGGTCACTTATTTCTTAAAAGGGTCCTTACGGCATCCAAGGACCAATTCCGGCTTTTGAGTGCACCACATCAACATTTGATGCTGCGACAGATGGTGAAATATGAATATATGTTACAGGCCGTATGAAAATTGTCCGTTTGCAAACGGCCTGGCCCAGTCAGGGCATATGAAACAGCCTGAAAACACCGGCCGTTTGCAAACCATGACCTGAAATATCAGACCGTTTGAAAACGGCCTAGTTAGTTTCGGCCTAGCGGATCCAGGGGGGCCACGGGGTCATGCCCCCAAGCCTGAAAGGGGGCAACATGTATTTTGGCCCCCAAAAACACTTAAGAAATATGAATGTGAGAAAGTAGCGTAGTAGGTAGAAACTACCGTATCATTAAAAATATGTGAGCTTGAGTGTTGGTCTCGTCTTCACCCAAGAAGTTCTTATTGCATACTTTACCTCTCGATCGACGCGTGAAGTTATCGTGTAAGTTATCATGAATCCGATCGCGACGAAACTTTAGCCCTCGCCGGCACAGGGGGGGGGGGGGGGTTGATGCAACCCCCCCCTAAGGTTTTTCGCGAATAACTCGCGTAAAAAGCGGCCGATCGCCACGAAACTTTCAGTACCCTCGCATTGATCAATTTTACACCTACCCTGAAAATTTCATGACCCTGACCCCAATGACCTTTGACCGGTGACCTCTTTTCTGTGACCATGTTTGGCCGAAATCGCGGTTCGGCGCATGTCGGCTCGCATTAGCCGCGCGTTTGCAAGCTTTTCGTGGTTCCAAACGTTCAAACATGTGATTTGATGTTGCTCCCATGCATTAGGGTGGGTGTCAAGGTCACCTGAAGGTCAGGTCAGGTCATTGACCTTTGGTGACCTCGGGTGACCTCGGTTCACTTTTTCGTGTTTTACATGTTTCTAGGCTAGTTTTTGGAGCTGAATTAGAATTTAGCAACCATTTGAACATTTACGAAGTAGTTTTGGTGCCTTCGTAACATGTTACGAAGCTGTCCGAGGCGGTTGACACGTATTACGAATACCCGTCACAACCCCTACCGGTTGACCTGACCTGACCTGACCTGACCTGGTCTAAATGCTTGAAGACATCATCTCTGATCGAAACTAACACGATATTCGTGATCAGCACCCCGGAAAACCACATAGCAGCCATACTTTACGACTTTCTAACAGGTCCCGATTTTCCCGGTTTTCGGGTCATTGACCTGACCTGGAAGGTCACCCGATGACCTAGGACCTTAAAATTGGGTATCATCGGCTTCCTCTCGTGACGGGCAACACGCTCGTTTTTTCCGCGAAGCTCTAGCTCAATCAGGGGCCAAACGCGAGGGGGGTCGTACTAACCCCCCCCCCCCTTGTGCCGTCGAAGGACTCAAAATGGCCTGTGCCGGCGAGGGTTAGCACCCTCATGTTGACAAAGTCTGAAAATTTCATGACCCTGACCCAAGTGACCTTTGACCTGTGGCCTATTTCTCGAGACTATCCGTGCGTTCGGAGAGCATGGAATATTCACCGTCCCCTGGAATATTCCCCGTGCCGCGTTCGGAGGCGTATCTCTCTGAACGGCCAATCTCCGGGAATGTTCCGCGCGCATGGAATGTGCCTCTCCGAACGCACCATATGTTTGGCCATGTTTGAGGCGATGTTTGGCCGGAATCGTGATTCCGCGTATGTCGGCTCACATTATCCGCTCGTTTACAGTCTTTTCGTGGTTTAAAACGCTCAAACATGTGAAATGATGTTGGTCCCAACCATTGTGGTAGGTGTCAATGTCACCTTAGGGTCAAGTCAGGTCATTGACCTTTGATGACCTCGGTGCACTTTTCCGAGTTTAACATGTTTCTAGGATAGTTTCGTTTAGCTGATTTTGAATTTAGCATTTAGCAACCATTTGAACATTTACGAAGTAGTTTTGATGCCTTCGTATCATGTTACGTAGCTGCCAGTGGTAGTCGGACACCTGCTACACGGACGCCCATAAGTACTGGTTGACCTGGTTGACCTGACCTGGCCTGCCCCGACATGGCCTAAAGGCATGAAGACATCATCTATGATCCAAACTAACATGAAATTCGTGATCAGCACAAAAAAATCTATTACAGCCTTACTTTAGGAGGTTCTGACAGGCCCTGATTTTCCCGTCTTTTGGGTCTGTGACCTGACCTGTGCGGTGTTTCACGGCACGCTGCCAGCGCTGTTGGCACTTTTGGTTTCCATGGAGACATCAACTAGCCTATACCTACAACACTACCGAAGGTTGACCTTAGCTCGCGGAATGCGCTGGCAGCGGCTGGCAGCGCGACCGTGAAACACCGCCCTGGAAGGTCAACCAATGACTAAGGACCTTAAAATCGGGTATCATCGGCTTCCTCTCGTGACTCACAGGCAACACACTCGTTTTTTTCCGCGAGCTCTAGCTTGATCAGGGGCCGAACGGCAGAGAGGTTCAAAAGACACCTCCCAGCCCGCGAAGGCTGCGCCAAGCACCGACCCGGAGCGGTGGTCGACAAAAGCAATTTGAAATGTTTTCAAAGTAATATTAAGGCACGGGTTGAGTGGGCTACCATTTCTCTCTCTCTATTTTTTTTTAGTTTAAAAAAATTATCGTTTCAGGGCTGTGACGAAAAATAAGTGGCCTAAATCCGATGAGAAAACAGGATTTGGGGGTACCCTAGGTTTGGCTCCTTGCACGAGTTGGCCCCCCCCCCCCCCCAAAACGCAAGTCTGGATCCGCCAGTGACCGAAGATAAGCCGCTGACTTGGAGAGCCACCTAACTTATTCCAACTAGGACTGTGATTGAATCTTCCATATCGGTATTGGACATAGGCATTGGATCAAATGGGCATTGGACATCCTCTGGGTTTGATGAGTAGCAACACTTTCACAAAGGATATGTATGGTGTATGCATTGCAACTGTAGTAGTATGAAAGTATCAGTTCGGTCTACATGCTCACCTTTTTACTTTCCTGGAGCAGATATCGACGCTCAAGAATACTATTTATTCGATCACCACTGGCTTAGCCAGCTCACTCTTCTGTCAGCTCTTTCAAGTTACTAAGAATGTCCATTGAAGACCATTCCCATTTCCATATATTCCAAGGGAACTGCTCTTCACTTCATTCATTTTATTGTACTGTAACTGACATTGAGAGCAGATGTTTAAATCACATTTTATAGCAGTAAATTACGCAGGAGCTGGAGGGACTGTCTTGGCTGCTGCTTAGTACTTAGGGCGATCAATGACGATCTTCGAGCGGCATATCCGGCGAACTGTGCCGCCGGTGGACCTCACGAAGTCGCCCCCCGCTGGCCGGTGTGCCGACCCCCCCCCCCCCCGCCCCACCTCATTCAGACCCGGTCCGGGCCGCTCCATTCTGGTGGGCAATCGGGCCAAATGGGCGCCGCCGCCGCCGGCCGGCCACACAGAAAAGATTGGGTCAGCGCGCCGCACGCGCCGCCGCGCCAACGTGACATCAGAACGGTGTCCCCCGCCGGCACTCATTGGCCCCGTCGACGGCTGTCTGGCAGCCGATGGGCTAAATTTGGCAGCGGTAGATGATGCAATCAGCTAATTTAGGGAATGAGCTGGGTTAAGGCGGTCCCTGTCGCCATCAAGGCTTGGTTGTATATGGTATTGCTGAACATTTCATATGAGCGGTG